ACCACATATTCCAACACCAACATCCGCCATTTGGATCATTGAAACATCATTAGCCCCTGAGAAGTTTCAAAATTAGACCCGGAAAACAGTTGTGCACGCACTTGAAAAACCTTAATAACATAACATCCCCAAAGATGACACAAAACCTCATCTATATAATTCATACAAACAAGCTCTTTTCGCATCGGACAAAATTCTGATAATATATAACATTTAACATTTGCAGAAAACACCTAATAATATATAGCTAACTCACCATCACCTATGGCTAGTGTCATATCATCAGTGCGGCTCTTTATTAGATCAACAATTCCAGCCTTCTGCAAAGGGGCAACGCGACAGCAAAGCACAACTTTACATGAAGTTGCAAGATCGAAGAGCTGTGACAGGATGGCAATCACAAATAATGGATCTCAATGTACATCGAAAGGTAAAAGCTAATGTGTAACAAGATGTATACACCCTTTTTCCAAACAAAATAAGGAACCAACAAGATGACTATAGTTAGAAAGGATGATTACCTCAGACTCAAGATCTTTCTCTAAAATATACACAAGACTATTCCCATCAATTATGAGTGCTAGAGGTCCAACAGGAATTCCTTCCCCTCCCGCAAGCTGCTGCGGTAATTTATATGACTTTGTACCATTTTCTGCTTCTCTCTGCAATTTTAAGATCCGATTATCACAACTTGCGGGCTTCACACCGTATTTGGCCTTGGCGTCTGACAATAACCTTTTGCATTCATTTTCTGAAGAGCCATTAATGATGATCTGGTGCATGTCGGAGGTCAAGAGTTTGCAAGACAAACCAATTGAAATTGCAGTTTCTTGCTTATCTCCAGTAAGAACCCAAACTTTTATCCCCGCTTGCCGCAGAGACTCAATAGCTTCAGGTACACCCTCTTGTAGTTTGTCCTCTATTGCGGTGGCGCCAAGTAGTGTTAAATTGCACTCGATTAGAGATGCTGTTTGGCGTAATTTTGCTGATCTGTCATTCAAAGATGTACTAGCATCCTCATACAAGCATTGCCACTCCTCAAGTTCTTCTCCTTTAAGGTCCCTTGCAGCGACCACAAGGGTTCGCAGTCCTTCAGAGGAGTACTCATTCAAATGAGTATAAGTGGCATTTTTTATGTGTTCATGAGTTTCATGCTCTTTGCTTAAAATGCTAAACATTGAAGTATCAGCCCCTTTGACCAAAACTTTTACAGAATCATCTGGGAATCTAATGACAACAGACATTCTTTTACGCACACTGTCAAACTCATGAAGTCCTAAGACATCCAACCTGCACCAGCCAAAAATTAGTCTGCATTTCCAACGCCTAAGAAGTTATACTTTAGCAAATTACCAAAATTAACAAGAGGAATGCAAGAGAAGAAACAATGTGTGAATGTGGATGGAAAAGTCACAATGCTATAGATAGCATGCATCACTAACACTTACAATAGTAATCAATACTATTTCATTAACAAGTTCTAAAAGATTCCCCAGGGCAACTAGCACCAAACAATAAACGTGAAGTGAAACAGTCATGTACCTTAGTTTCTCACCCTTGACATCAGTCACAATATGACCAGATGTCCGCTCACACAGTGTATACCCATAAGCAGATGCAGCAGCTACAAGCGCTTGTTCATCAGGAGATTCACCTTGATACTCGATGGTGACATCAGTGTCGTCCACATTGTTCTGTACACCACATGAAGAACTTTTGGTAGGAATAGGAATCACGGTATTACATGCTGCCAACGTCAGAAAAAACTCGTCTGCAGCAATCCTCTCTTCTCCGGCTAGCTTGGCATGTAACAATTGCATTAGTTCAACATCAGTTGGAACTTCTGATTTGATCATTAACTTTCTTCGACTCGAAGGATGTTGGATTGGTTCTTCTGCACATCATTACAAAAATAACCATTTGGTTCGGTGCACAAGCATATTTAGGTGAAAACAAAACCTCAAAAGGAAGAACCAAACAAAGAACGCAGCTGGCTCCTTATTATCAGTTGATATACAAAGCTATGCATGAACATATTACATGTTCTACACTGCGGAATTATGGACATTACAATATACGAAAAGAATAACAACTACAAACACAACTAAACAGTCTGTTCTTGCAGATAACTTAAGGTCAAACTAGTGATTATTCTTTCAAGAAGAGAAAGAAAACCTCCTATAAGGCATAGGGAACCATGACTGTTGCTTATGTAGGTAATACAAGAGGACAAATACACCGTTTTAGGTTGACAAGATATAGAAAAATAGATGCTACACGAGAAAAAGAATAACTAAAAAATAAGTGAAAAGGCACTTATGAAAAGAGAGTATTCCATTGGTTACGTTAGCAATGTACTGTCAACCATGCAGGAGATCAACCTTTTACAATATGAAACATATAGCAGCAGTTATTCGCTTCAGGACATAATTTTTAAAGGAGTTACAATAATGTAAAATATTGAGTGCTTCAGACTTATAAAAATAAAAATAATTTATTTTACATGGAATAGGAATACATTTTGTAGTGTCATAAACTAATAAATCCAAACAATGAGAACAAAATAAATTTAAATCTCATTGTCGCCGTGTAAGATAACTCTTGTTAAATAAATTAACTACTTGGTATCTGAGGGTGGGAACACACACTAATGAATGACAATAATAAAAAAGCTCTTACTAAATAAATGATATATTCATGCAAGAATTGCATAAGTAAGCGTGCTCTTCACAGCCAATAAGCTCATTTGGGTATCTAATAAACCATAATGTGATGGCAATAGCATTCAAGAAAGATCCAATCCGACTACATCAGGTACATATAATTTTTCTTGGCAGATAGGCAAAGTTACAAATTTTTCTCTCAACAGTGTTGAGCAGTCTACATTCTATAACTGTGACTTCACGCCAACAAATATTATAACCAGCAGAAGCTGGAATGAAAAATATTCCAAGCATTTCAGTGAGACAAAAGGACAGTACTGTCAAGAGAATGAAGCATAAGCCATCTGACGAAACAGTGACATCGAGAATCATCAGATATTAACAACATTAAAACTAATAACTTCTGCATGTTTGCACAAATGGATTGACTTCACTTTTCTGTTTCTAGTTTTCCTGTTAATTACTTTTCCCTCTTGTACCCTTTTTCCTGCTTGTTATTTCTGGAAGTACCTAATAGGGAAAATACATAAGCATTCTACAAATGTTCGTTACATTGTCTGATCATGATAATCCTCCAGTTATGCAGGTTCAAAGATCCAACCCTTCCAGTTATACAAGTCAAAGATCCAAACTATGTTTAGAAAAATATGGCATACAGTTAGCATACCTCCAATATCTGTGTTTACTGATGCATCAGCAGCAGAAAGGGATCTCCCATAACTTTTTCCCCACACACTAGCTCTTCTGAATTCCATCTTATTTTCGGTAAGTGTTCCTGTTTTATCTGAAAAAACATAGCGAATCTGACCCAAATCCTCATTGATATTTAGGGATCTGCACTGAAACCTAGAATTACTGTTAATATCATACATATGCCTGTCTCCAATCATGAAATACGACTGTCCCAAGCGAACTAACTCCATGGTGATATAAAGAGATATAGGTATCATTATCTGGAAAACTATGATCGAACTCAGAAAGGAGAAAAATGTTTCCATAGGAATCCCATAGTACTTATACTGTTTGCCATGTTTTCCTTCTTCAAAGTAAACTCTTCTGTAATAAGGCATGGTATCAAGCTGCTCCTCATGGCGCTTCAACCATAGACCCATCCCAATTGCTACAACCAAGCACATCACGAAAAGGAAAATAGACAGCCAAAGGGTTTCCCGGTTCATATATGTTTCCAGCCTGCTTCTTTTAGATGGAGACGCAGTGCTGTTCAACATAGCTTTAGTCTCTTGCCCAGCATAAACCGCTACTCCAACTGCCCATTCTGTGTTTTTCAGCTGGCAACCACGCAATATGATATTCGATTGGCTGAGCGGAAATCTATGCCCATTAAACTCCATATTGGCCGTGAATTCATAAATGTTCCTGTTAGGCTGTTCACATCTAATAACTCCCGAAATCATCTCCCCTTCACACACTAATGAAGTTGTTTCTTGCCTAGCATACCTTGTCTTCAAGTTTGATTCACCATCAAGATTCATTGTCTGAATATAAGCAATTCCACTAGGATCACTGGTTCCTAACAACACCATGTCACAGGGAATAGTCTCATTAGCAAGGATCTTCACAATCTCCCCGACCCGGATTTTCTTCCATCTTTTTAACTGAAACTTCCCACCAGATTGAAGTACTAGAGCCTCCCGGTTATTCTCGTTCCTATCTGATCTGTGTCTCCGCCAATCCTCATAACCATCTTTTATAGCTGTCACAGAAAGCACAAACAGAAGAGGAAACAGAGACACAGTTCTCCCAAATACAGCAAGAGGTGGAAGCTGATTCAGAGCAGCGATAGCTAAAAAGTATAAATAGGCAACCCGATGAAACTGAATGAATAGGTTCTTCGGCAAGAAAGTTATTACTGTATACTTGCTAGTTCTGATCTCATTTCCACAGAAATCAAACTTATCATTAGTCTTTTTTGGATCATTAACATGGATCAACCTAGGGTTACTTCCATGTAATAAGCTATCCTCCAACTGCATGCTTTTCTGAAGAAGCCTCTGAGATGTGTTCAGCTTATCCTGGACGCGAGAAGAAGCCCTAGACAAAGACGAATCACGGGTGGATGCTGCTCCAGATGAAGCCACCCTAGATGAATCACGGGATATTTCAAAAGCTGCTTTGTCATGCCAATGGTCCTCCGTTCCACTCCACGATACGAGGCGTTTCCTATCCTTCGGGGGGATTCTGATGAATGTGGCTTGTGAGACTGAAGCTCGGCTGAATGAAAGTCCTTTTTACTCACAAGAGAAGAAGAATAGTGTTGATCGTAAGGACGAGGTTCTGGTTCAAAAGAAGGCTCAGACAGTAACAGCAATGGCTTGACGGAAGTCATAAATACTTCCACCGCCGGAAAGGCATTGGAAAGAATGAAACTAAAACCTCAATAAGTAAATCAAATCCCTAATATCATTCACAGATAGACCATCCAAAGAGCATTTTTGCTCAACCGTGGGAAGCACGAGCTTATTGGTTAAGCCTTCACTCACTTTATCCTGGAACAATAGGCAGCAATTTTAATGGCGAATTCTCCCAAATACACCAGGGTGGGTCTTGCAGAAATCCAAAAACCAGACCTTTTTATGTTTCAAGCCCACCAAGCCAGGGCCAATAATGAAATCAGCTGACAAATAAAACAAAAAGAAAATAGGAAAGTTTAAAGTACATGAATGCTGTGGCATCCACCGACCCAAATAGGGCAAAACTGAAACAACTAAATCCACTCAGCAATAGATAATGCAATCAAACAAACGGACGTGTATGTAATTATTATGAGCAAAAAAAAGGGCTAACCTGTGAATCAAATGGGGACAATCTTGTCTTTTGTTCTGTCGTATCGTCTCGTAATTGGTGATTGAATGAGATGGATGCACTGAAAACGAAATCAGAGAGGAAAATGTCAGATCTGAGGAACACACACACATACACATACACAATGAAAGATGAATCAGCTTTATACAGAGCAAGAAAAAAGACAAAGAAACCTGAGATTTCTTGTTCAATATGCAAAAGGCGGTTGAAAGTGATGGAGGAGAGAGAATAGTGGGTTTTATAGTAGTATTATTATGCTGCTGCTTACGTGACTCGTCGGTCTCTGCTGCCTTCCTCCTCTTCTTGCCCCACCGGTGAAGTCTCGATTCCAAACCGAGATTCTCTCTCTCTCAGACTCACCACAACTCTCCTCTTCATTTCTCTGCTTTTTTCTTTTCATTTTTTCGTTACTATCCCTGTCTTGTTTATTCTATTTTCCTTTGTCTTGTTTTACGCAATTCTTTTTTCTTTTGAAAAAAAATATAATTTTTACTTACAACTAATTTAACTTTAAACCTGTTATTTTATACTTACAACTTGTTTAGATGGTTGTTACGTATCGTTTCATAATATATGATATTGTACTATATCATTTGATAAATATAATATTTGGATAGCTTGTGTCGTTTATCATTGTTTTATAATATTATACACCAGCAATATGAAGAATAAACTTGCAATATTATAAAGAAAAATTATGATATTGGGTAAAATTAAAAGGTAGGATAAATGATAAAATAAATTTATTTAATAATAATAATAATAAAGAGTGAGATCGAGAGAAAAAGATAAGGTGATGACGCGACCACACCAAATCGGTCGTTACATAAAGTGGCACATGTAATCGGATTTAACGATACAATATAATAAAATTTAAGTAGCAATCAAAACAAACATCGTATTTAAAGTAACAATACGATACAATACAATAGGTAACAATCATCCAAATGACATAATTTTACCGTTAAAAGAAGTTCTAAAAAAATTCTTAACTTTCATGTAGAATTAAACATTGCAAGAAGTAGTATTTATCTCTAATAATAATTTCCTTTGAATTTGATTTTGACGATTTACGTTTTTAAATTAGATATATTTAAAGTTTATTGCGTGTATAAAACCATTGCTTGGACATTGCACTTTTCTTTCAATACTTTACTGTATCTTTACGCATATTATTATTAGTTTTGTATGGTTAGAGAAGTTTCTTTTCATGCTAGTACTTTTTTCAAACCAACTTTTGAACGAAACTTAACAGGGATGATAAAGAAAACACAAAATTAAAGAAGTAAGCAACTGAAATAAATTTTAAATCCCATTTCTTGACAGAAAAAGGGTGCTCACGTGCTCAAATTGTATATCTTCGTCACGAAAAGAATAAAGGAAGATTAGCCAAGATTACTATCACTCATGTGCAAAAGGATTGCATGCTAATAATCTTTCTTTCATTTTTCTTTTTTTAAAAGGAAAATTTGTGTTTCTGGTTGTTTCAGTGATTATCAAACTTTAGTTTTGATATTTGATCGACAATTAATATAAATATAGCTTTTGACCCATGAATTATACATTGGTAAAATACAGATGTATCCCGTGGACAATATAATAGTTGACACATTGCAAATGATGCTTATAGCCGGTTTGGCCAAGTTTTTTTTGGTCAAAAGGGTTTTTTTTTTTGGCAAAAAATTGAGATGTTTGGCCAAGCTTTTAGAAGGAAAAAAAGTGTTTTTGAGAAGAAGCAGAAGCAGTTTTGGAGAAGCAAAAAAAAATAGTTTCTCTCCAAAAGCACTTTTTTTAGAAGCACTTTTGAGAAAAATACACTTAGAAGCAGTTTTTTAAAGCTTGGTCAAACACTAATTATTGCTCAGAAGTGCTTTTCAAATTAATTAGCCAAACACAAATTGCTTCTCACCAAAAGTACTTTTGAGAAAAACACTTTTGAAAAAAACCACATCTCAAAATAAGCTGATTTTTGCAGCTTGGCCAAACAGGCTATTAGTCAGCTCGAAGTCACACAAAACTTCTTAAATGAACTAAACCAGAAGGGGGGACAGAACCTCCCGGATTATATGTACCAGGATCAACTAGTATCATCCCGAAGATGATCATTTTGTCCGGCTAAGTCAAATCAGCAAGTACCCAAGTATTTGGGATTCACTATTTGTTTACCCGTAAAATGATACAGTTGAATTTATACATTTTTTTATAAATAAGCGAATCGATCTGATCTCAAAATGATAAATAAATAAAATAAAAATGCAAGACTTAGCGTTGAAATCGAGATAAGACAGCAAATAGCTTGGTTCCAGGAGCAGAGCTTCCGAAGGCAAAAATAATAATACCAATAAACAAGAAATAAAGTGTTATTGAGCTTAGAATAATATGTAGCATAAGTTTGTCAGAAAATTCGTGTCCCCTACAATGGCTGTTGAAGTTACTATTTATAGTTGCACCTAGGGAACAAGGTCTAGGATCAAGCCCCTCCTAAATGATAATTATGGGGACCATTAGAGAATGTGTAACGGCAGACTATGAATGACATGAGTATGAAACTTGACATTTATTGATCATGCCCATGTATTCTTGTATTATCCGTTTTCATGTTGTTATTGAGCGTGTGATTATGCCCAGCGGATTGTGACTGTGAGCTTATGATTATGTCGGGTGAATTGTGATTTTGGCACGTGAGTTGTCTGTACGATTGTGATTTTGAGATGTAAGCATGAGATGCCATGAGTAAATGATGGCAGGTTGAGACCCGGGACTTGTGACTATGATATGAGGTATCACGGAGTGATTTCGTTGTGAAACTTGTGTTAGACAGCTTGATTAACTGGTTGTCCTTTGTGTTCCTTATTTGGTTTTAATGATGTTTCACGGTATTCTTATTGTTTTACTGCCTATATGCACATGTTGATTTTGTTGCCATTTACTGATTCCTTCTTTCCATTTTTAGTTTTATACTGTTATATTGCATAGGTTATTTTGTCTAGTGAGTGTCTTGACTGTATCTCGTCACTACTCCATCGTGGTTAGTCTTGATACTTACTGGGTACCGATCGTGATGTACTCATATTACACCTCCGCACATTTTTGTGTAGAGCTAGGTATTTGAGATATCGGACTAAAGCAGAGTTAGCTTGTTGATCGCAAGGATTCGAGGTAGAGTTACTTGGTCGTCGTAGTCCCTTGTAGTCATTTCCTTATATTGTACTGTCAGTTGTCATTTGAACGGTATTGTATTTTGATCCTTGATATCATTTCATGTATTCATCAAGAGTTCATGACTCTGTATTACCAGTCTTAGGAGGTTGTTATGATTATTTCTGCGTATGATTATTTCTGTTTCTGTCTCTGCATTTATATTAAACTCTATTTCAAATTATCATTGTAAAAAAAAAGGCTTAATTGTTATAGTAATCGGCTTACCTAGTCTTAGAGACTAAGTGTCATCACGATGCCTGTGGTGGAATTTTTGGGTCGTGACATCGGGCCTCTTTCGTCGTCGGTTGATGAGCAACCAATATCTAGCACTGCTTTTGCCGTAGCTGCTTGTCAACCCACTATGCCATCAACTTCATCTCCTTCTTCGCCAACCATGCCTTCGCCACCAAACACCAGCAACTGCTACATCATCATCACCGGTCGCAGACACCCGAGAGGAGGATGTCCCTCCTCCCCAGTCCCTAGTCCATGGGAATCTGGGGCATAACTATTCGCCCACCTCCGCAGATCCCCAGAGAAGGAGGAGCGTCTCTCTCTCGGTCTGTACCGAGTGCCATCGACTATCCCGGCCGGTGGAAATTGCCAATTACCTGAAGCCTCTGGCTTCAAAGAAAGATAAGAATAAAATATATTCTCTCTCTGGGAAGTGTATGATAAATAATGTCATGCACAATGCATCAGCGGTACGATATTGGTTCCCTTTACTGTTTCTTCTAGCTTTGTTATGACATGATTTTTAATTAGAACTTTTGCTTTGCAGGCTAACTTCCTTGCTTCTGTGGGCCTTTATAGGGTGATCCTTGATAAAGAGAAACTCACATCTGAGCGGGATCAACTGTTGGCTGAGCGGGAGAAAATTGCTGCTCGTTTCCCGGCACTAGAAGCACAAGCTGCCAAAGTCGTTGAGTTGGAGGCTCGATTGCAGCAGAGAGAGCAAAAGGTGGTGACCCTCAACCACGTGGCCGCCCTGTTAAGGGTACAATTTCAAGAGGCCAAGGCAAAGTGGTCTGAGGTCCAAAATGTTGTTCTTGTTGCTGCCGAGTGTGAGGCTTCCTCTACTGAAAGACTAAATAATTTAAAGGCAGCCTTGAACTCTAAAACTGAAGAGGTTGCTGCTACTGAGGAGAAGCATCCCCGAATGGAAGAGATATATAAAAAGGTCATGGAGCACAATAAAGTTTATAACTCCACTATTTGTGACCTTGACGTCAGCCTTCAGGTCGCTAGATCCGAGCGGAATAACCTTTCGACCGAGGTTGACCAGCTTAAGGAAGAGCTTCAGCGTGGATCAGCTTCCCTCATTGCTGAAAAAATATATTTTATGTATAGCATGAGCAGAAAAACCTTGGAAGAGGCCAAAGCGGGCATCATTGACTGATTCCGAGATCGCTAAGGCCTGTGAGCTGGAGTCAACTGCCCGAAGGGGCCTCCTGATCTAACCTGATGCGACTGACTCTTCTAGTTCCGATTCCAAGTTCTCGGGAGATGAGGAAGGACTTGAAGGGGATGATGAGGAAGGTCAAGATCTCCAGCCGGCGGCAGATCCGCCTACTTCTCCTGGGGGTGCAGACGTTTCTCTTCCTCCGGGCTCTAGCAATGTAATAATTTAGTTTTTTGCTTTCTTTCCTTTTTGTTTTTCATTTCATACTTTTGTACTTGTGCTGCTCGGCACGTTTGTTATATAAAAGTGCTTTTTCATTTAAGTATTGTGCAAATTTTTCTTTTTGCATCGAGTTATGCAAGGCTTCGGGTGCGTTTTTTTCCTCGATAGTATTTGGATTCCGGGCATTCATTCTTCCGGAACCAACCCTTTACTATGAAGGTTTCATAAGAGAGGGCCCTCTTATGCTTACGGTGCTCTTGAAGAGGACATCTGATGTTCATTCCGACACTAGCATTTGAAGTATTTGATTAACTTTCAAATGATAAAATTAACTCATCGTTCGGACAAGAAACAAGATAAAAATAAAAGGACTTTACTTTATTCCTTCCAGTTTCAAAAGTACATAAGCATTCGTTGTGTTGAAAGGAAATTGCCATTACTTGTGGCTAATTTGTATAATTTGTTTCGGGCTGGTCGTGCAGCCCCTAGTCCCGATGATATTTCTTTGTTCTCAGATTTCGTAGTTCTGGTTTATGTGGCAGTCATGTTGCCATATTCTCATATCATTCCCTCTA